CACACACACACACACACACACACACACACACACACACACACACACACACACACACACACACACACACACACACACACAATTTATACTTCATGGAAGTAGAATGAAGAAGCAGTATTTAATAATCAAAGAAAAATAAAACTTCTCTATTTACTACCTAGACTACATAAAGCAAGAAAAATTTTATATTGTTTCAGAACTTTAATATCCTAAAGAGTAGTGCTTTTTAGAAACCACTTCCAAGAAATAGTTATCTTGGAAAGTATACTTTATCTAATGATGTTGCTCTCTATATTTTTTAGAACTCTTTTTTCAAATTCTCATGATTGTTTTATAAGAAAATCGTTAGTGTAAGGTTATATGTTTTTATGGACTCAAAAGTTAGGACAAGGATCTGCTTTCCTGAGAATAAGATGTCCCACCAGTGGGAATATTTTAAAAGATCATGCATTAGAATCTTCTTGAAAAAAACCTTCAAAAATATTGCAAGAAATGGCAATGCTGTTAGAATAAGAATATAATGTTATAACACAAAAACTTTTAAAAGTAAAATACTAAACTGCTTGAATTTTTGGAAGCTTATTTAAAAACTAATCAAAATGATGTGTCTGACAATAAGGAAAATAAGATAAATACCTTCCTCAACTCAGACTTTTATAATAGCAGTGATTTCTTTTCTTCTATAAATTTTACATAATCTGAGAAAGTTTGTTTTTAAATAAAATAATTCAGTTTATTCATGTCACTTAACAATGAATATCCTTGATTCTCTCTTTCAATTTGTATCTACTAATTATTTTACTTATGTGTGTCTTTTTCCTTATTTTTCCTAGTTTAATTAAGTAACTGTCCACTCTTCTCATTCCTTGTATTTAGAGATTCTGCTGTATTCTTGACTACTTTCTTTTTATTTAGTACTTATAATAAAAACTTTGCTAGTGTTTTTTTTTAAAAAGATACTATTTCCCCCACCAAAATTTATCTACTACCTACTTTAAAACTTGTTTTCAAATAGTTTTAAAAAACAAATCAAACAACCCACTCATAAATTGTATGCTCCAATTGATGAACTTTTCCATTGGAATTTCTCATTTTCTCATCCTTAAAGGTTCAACCAGGGCCACTTCCTCCATGACGCCTCCCTAATGGCTTCTTATATTGGAAAACCACACCACTGAACTGCCTTTCTTAGGAATGCATCACATATCTATATACGTGTATTTTCACTCTAGGCCACATTATTGTTAATTTTGGTAACTAAATTTATACCCCCAGCTACAGAAAACAGAGCTCTGGCAAATAGCAGGCACTCTTACAGTTCTACTGAAGGCTAGTGTGATCTTATAAAAAAGTTGAGCATTCTGTGGTTCCATGGCATCCAAGGCATTTCCTAAGTTTTCCAGAGTGGAAGCAGCCTAAAACAAAAGTATTCAGCATAATTTTAAAATAAATGAAGAGAAAGAGAATACATGGCATATACACTAATACACGGTATTATTATTTTTAAAGATCCTTGCTTTCACAAATTTCCTTTCTTCCAATGAAATCATGTATGTTGCAAGATATATTAAAAGTGCTTTTAAAAAGTTCAATAACTATAAATAAAGAATTGAGTTTTAGAGTGTGTTTCTAATATTTGATATTGAATGAAAACCTTTGGGTGGGTAAAGATACCCATAATATTCAATTAGCTACACATTTCAAGAGTCCTAATAATTCATAACACAGGAGATATGAATAACATTTATAAACATTAATATTACGAGATCAGTCCTTAAATTACCTATGCAGCCTGGTTTATACTTAAAATATTCTCTAAGGTAGACAAATCAGGAAGATACTTGGTATAAATAATTTCAGTGCCTGGAAAATTTACTTCAGAGTTGCCCCTACTAAGATTCTTCTAGTAATCACTGAAATACTTAGGTACTGGGACATTAACCAGTTTAACCATACTGAACGCAATCCAAATCTACTACGTGTTATAGTATCATTTGCTTCAGACTAGATTTTGGCATAATCCAGTACACTGTCAATATGTTCATTGCTAGAGAAACATGATTATTATAAGGTCCAATGGGATTTCATCCTAAGCCCATTTATGCAAATTCATTAAATTGTAAAAATACCTGAATTATATTTTGCATATGTACGCTTCCACACCCAGTATCACCAGTTACACTGATCAGCTATATTGTTACTGAGGAGTTTATGTAGAAAACCATATATACTATAATGAATGATTTAAGGAATTTTCAAGGGTTAATTCTTAACTCTACCTTTGCTTTACTAGTTGATTGAAGAAGCTCACCTTTTTGTTAAGGTGTATTTTAGCAATCAACTAAAACGCGCTCTGCCATGCATTCTAAAAGAGCCCTTCAAGGTGCTAATGTATGTGCTCAGGTGTGGGTGAGTACATTACTTTTTAATATGGGAAACTTAACTACTACAATAAGACTTACCTTCTCTGTATCTCCCTCCCTACACAAATAAAAGAGAGCCAGCATTCTTAGTGCTTCCACATTTTGGTTATCTTGAAGAGTCAACCTGTGGAAAAAACATTTCACTTAATGTTGAAATAAGCTTATAGAGTTTCTTTAATTTGAGGTCTTGAAAAGCTGGTTTGCCGATCTATTACACTGTCCATGTAAGAATTTTAATTAGTAAAATGGCATCTCTTTTACAAAAATGATCAACCTTATTATTTAAAAAAAAAAATCTCTGAATCTTAATTTCTAATGTTTAAGAAAAGTATGGATTGTACCAGTCTCATTAAGTTCTTCGGCATTCCTAAATAAAGTATTAGCTAACTATACACAACAGTGTATTAAAAGAATAATTCACCTCAATCGAGCAGATTTATTTCAAGAATTTCAGAAAGGCAAAGATGGACTGAATAGTTTAAAATCTGTTAATGTAATTTATAACATTAAAATAGATTCTTGTGTGATAAAAACAAATGGGAAAATAATATGGAAAACTATCCTATTAATAACAGGAACAACCCCATGACCCAAAAGTCATAAACTTAGTTAAAAATACGCAAACACTATATAAGTTCCTATGACACTTCACTCAAGGGCATTTAGAAAAGAAACTGAACAAATGATTAAGTTCTTCGGCATTCCTAAATAAAGTATTAGCTAACTATACACAACAGTGTATTAAAAGAATAATTCACCTCAATCGAGCAGATTTATTTCAAGAATTTCAGAAAGGCAAAGATGGACTGAATAGTTTAAAATCTGTTAATGTAATTTATAACATTAAAATAGATTCTTGTGTGATAAAAACAAACGGGAAAATAATATGGAAAACTATCCTATTAATAACAGGAACAACCCCATGACCCAAAAGTCATAAACTTAGTTAAAAATACGCAAACACTATATAAGTTCCTATGACACTTCACTCAAGGGCATTTAGAAAAGAAACTGAACAAATGGGTTAATGCACTGGATTTCTTATCAAGGACGGGGAGATAGAATTATTAGCTCCAGTTTTTCCACCCTCCATGAATACATGCTTCCTGCCATCAAACTGAGCAGTTCCTCAGCAACTGCTGGTGTGGCCTTTCCTGCCTCTTGGCCATTGACTCAGACTTCTTTCTTCTATTGGCCCGTGGAATGTGAGCGGGGGTGGGTGGAAGGGGGGGGGGTCGCATTTCCGAGGCATCTGTCCCATATTCCTGCTTGCCCTCTGGCATCTCTGCTGTCACCAAGAGGAGTCCCCTCTGGGGAGCTGCTGCCCTGGCTTAAGCCCAGGGAAGAATGCCCCCTAGAGTTGACCACAGCCCACACTGCTCTGAGATGCCACAACCACCCAGAAAAGTTTCCCAAATAATCTAGAGATTCAATGCAATTTAAGCCAAAATCAAGATTTTGTTTATAACTTGTTAATTCTGACCTTTAACTGCAAGAGTCAAAAAAACTATCAAAAAAAAGAAACATGATGGAAAACTTGCCCTAAAAGAACAAAATCCACTAGAAAGATAGAAGGGAAGAGACCCAGTTAAAAAAAAAAAGGAAGAGTCAATATACAGAAAAAAATAGCTTTCAGCATAAGAAAGACAGTCTCAATATGATCAAGGAAATGAAAATAAAAAGAAAGTACCACTTTTATTCTATGATTGTTAAAATAAAAGAAAAAAACAAACAAAAAACCATACTGATAATAGCCAAGATTGGTAAGGATGGGGGCGGGGGGAAAGGAGACAGTCCACTGACTACTGATGGTATAGTATAAATTAGGATAACGTCTTAGGAGAACGATTTGGCAGCATCTAACAGAATTTCAGATGTATGTGCCTGAGGCAGAGCCTGCAACCTGCTTCCTCACGTATTCTCCCCTTACTTGCTTGGGCACACAGCTAGCTGCTGACCGTTCCCAGCCACCTTTGCAGTTAGATGTGGCCAATGGGAGATGAAGCAATGTATGCCATTTCTTGGGCCTGGGCTTTTAAGAAAAGTGGAATGAATCCTCCATACTTTTTAACCCTCCTACCACCTAGACGTCAATGTTACGAGGTTTTATGACATGGAACAGTTGCAAGATGGAAAAAATCCAGGTCCTTTAATGACAGTGCAGAGGAAGGCTTCTTGATCAAATCTCACACCCACTCAAAACAGTTAGATATGAAAAACAGAAACAAAAACAAACGTATGGTATTTAACCATTATGTGTTCAAATCTATTTTTTATAGGGACTTAGTCTACCCTAACAAATATAAGTCTTTTTAATTCAGTAATACCTTATTTGGGTTTCATACTCCAGAAATACTCCTGTATGTGTATGAAGATGTGTGTATGTGTGTTCATTGTATTTAGAGAAACTGGAAACAGCCTAAGTGCTTACCGATGGGAAAAGATTAAATAAACTATTTATATGTTTACTTTATACATGCTATTCATTGTTGCTAAATAATTAGGTGTATCTGTGTAAATGGATATAAAAGGATATCCATAAAATACTAAGTTAAAGAAAAGAAGTTCAAATATTATTTAACGAGTATATTTCCTATTTTGTAAATGCCTTCAAAAATATTTACATATTCTTTATATATTATAGATAGTCCCACCCTCCACTTAACATACAGTGAAAAAAAAAAAAACTCAAAAAAAAAAAAAAAAGGAAAAATATAAAGTTACTAGTGTCCAAATCATGGCCTCCAAATATTTCCCACTAAAAGGGATTAGATTGCCCTGGACAATGGCCGACACCTATTTGGGGCAGTAAATACACAAATGACCCTGGCATACTTTTCCATACCAAATAGCACAGAAACTATCAAAGACTACTACTAGGACTGTGTCAAGAGGACTTAAGAACTAACTAACTCCTAATGATCTAAGATGAGACAATTTGAGCAATTATAACAGCCAAAATAGTTAGAAACATACAAGTTTAAGCCACATCATATAAACAAACACAAACCACTAATCAATCACCACTAAAGGATGCTAGGAAACTTATTTTTAAGCCCAGAAATAAAGGAAAAGACTCAAACGATCATCTGATTTTTTTTTTATTACATGACCCATAACACTAGATAACCAACCAGTATTTTAGAAGTTTTTCTTTAATGAAGCATCCCAGCTAAGAAATGAAGAAAGAATGGTATACCCACATGGTAATCCTCAACCAAGCAAACCAGGCTCCCAAGTACTGAGCATTAAGGGCCTGCTCATATCACAGAGAGACAGGCAAGCAGTGACCATGTCCCTTCGGTGGTGGAACACATCAACACTTATGAAGTAATTGCAAAAAAACAAACAAAAAGCAAAAACAAAAAAACCTAGACATGAATCTAACAAAGCCTCTAGATCCACTACCAACTTAGAGTAAACACAGCAATGCCTTATACAGTACATGGCATGCAATCAATGCAATCCCTGTCATGGAAAACCTACAGGATAAAACACTGGTTTCTTTCACTTAAGAAACAGCAAGAAGAAAGAAGAAAAAGAGGAGGAGGGAGAAAGGAAGAAAGAGAGAAAGACAGGGAAGGAAGGAAGGAAAGAGGGACCCATCCTTCAATAAGAAACATTCAGAAGAAAACCCAGACCCTTACAATGGCCAGCAGGACCCCGCTGCCCTGGCCCCCTGCTCCTTCCCACCTTTCAGCTCTGGCTTCACTGCCTCATCTTACTCCCACCCACTTCCTGACCCTCTGTCGCCCACGTTAGCCTCAGGGTCTTGGCATTGGCACTTCTGTCTGCAGTCTTCTCCCAGTACCTGCACGGCCTGCTCCCTCTGTTCCAATGCCATCTGCTCAGGGAGGCCCTCCCTGACAATCCCACAAAATCGAACCCCTTCCCCTACTCCCTTTTTAATTTCCAGCTTTATCTTTTTCTCCGTAACACTTACACTACATAACTTACTGCTTCTGCGTATTAGACGGCTCCTCTCATTTCAATACAAGCTTCATGAGGGCAGGAATATATCTGTTTGCAGAGAGTGTCCATCTTAAAACAGTTTCTCAGGTATTTATGTGCATCAATAAATTCAGTTTTATAAAACAATGCAATGTTAAATGTTTCATTAATTTTATATTATTTGAAAAATTCAAATTTTAAAAACCTCATGGTAAAAGCACACACATACATTATAACCAGATGCAGATACTGTGTCATCTCTTTATACTTCACCTCTGTGCTGTCTCAACTGTCTGATCCCAATTCTGCAAGGCCAGCTGGAGCTTCATTTTCTTTATGAAAGCTGGAAGGAAACTTGGGAAGGTCATGATTATCTGGTTTATAGTCTCCAGAGCACCTGAAAAATTCTGGCGCATCTCAAGGCACTGCGCCTAATTGGGAGAAAAAAAAGTGACATCGAAACTGTGATCATATATACCAAAGATCTCACAACAGCTATCCTGGAATAGGCAGAATACTAGCGTTTAGCATTTTCTATATTTTTGTTTTCTGACTTTTCTGTAAAGAGCAGTTATCACTTTTATAATGAGAAAACCAAAGTTTTTGTCAACACAAAAATATAAAACATCACAGAATAAAAATACTTTATGTAAATGACTTTGTTCTAAATAACTGAGAAATATGATTACAGGATAAAATTGTTTTAAATGTTTTTAGATGCACCAAGAAGTAAAAAATGTTCCTATTTAGAACAGAAAAGTTATCTTTTAGAATAAAATACTTTCAGGATATTTGCAAATAGCTTCTAAAACTAAGGGATTTGTATCTTTTAAAAAAAAAATTAGTTTCAGGCTAAAGAAGGTAGGACAAAACAGAGTTAAAAAAACTCCATCTCAACATTTTCACTTCTAGAATTATCTTAGGGAATAACTGGATAAGAACACAAAGAAGCATATAGATTATTATTTATCGCAAAATTATTTATAGTAAAAAAATAAAAATAACCCAAAATGTCCCTCCAGGGCTAAATATAGCAGGTCTATTTAATAAAATTTTAGGTGGCCACTAAAATTCATCCTGTAGATTTATAGATCTATATTTACTGACATGAAAAGATCTCATTTATAAAATAATGGTTTAACTGGTTATCTCCATTGTGAATATTTATTTTTAATTCATTTGTTAATATATTCTGAAGGTTTTAGATGTCGATGTATTCCTTTCATAATCAGGAAACATAAAGCTATAAATGTAGTTAGGACTTTAAGAACAGATAATGAGGCATATTTATCACATATCAGATTTTTTTTTAAATTTGCTTCTGGATCTCCTTTAGGAACCAGTACAGTCCTGGAATATCTCAGTTCCAAATGAGCATCCAGGCGAGACAGATGTACAGCAGACACTCCTGAAGTCAGAGCGAGGTTAGACTCCCCTACAATTAGAGGAAAATCTAGGAACCATCCAAAGTTGCTACTGACTAGGTCAAAATAAATTACTGTTTAAATTTCTCAATAGCTGGCAGTAATAGCAAAAAGATCAATGTAGATAATTTTTAAAAACCACATATGCCATTGGTATCTGCCTAAATGGCTGATAATGTAAAATAAAATCATGCTGTAAGAGATCTAATACTTCTTCAGACCATCACCTCCTACAGGTATGCAGCACATCATATAAAGGAAACCAAATTTACTATATATTTGTCTCATATCAACCCCCCAGTTGGGATAACACTAATGCAACCCTTCTGTTGAATTAACTAAAGAATAAATATATAATTGTAATGGGTTACATCAGAAAATGAATTTAAACCAATCTTAAGTATTAGAGGAAAAAGGGAAATCTCTCCTAAACTGCACATACTAACACTACATATAGCCCTACCTTAGACGTTATCCACTAGCTCTGCTTTATGGAAGAGAAGGGGGAGAAGTGACTAAGAAAAAATTTTTTTATACTGGCTAAATGCCTGATTCCTCTAGTGGTGCCATAAAGTAAAATTTGAATCCAATCACCCTCAGTGTGCACTGGTGGTAAATATCTGAACAAGGTCATTATCCACAGAAATTGACAAGAGAGGGGGACATTGACAATAGCCAAACACTAACAATCCTCTCCTCTTTTTCCTTTTTTGTCCTCTGAAATTACTGCTTGTCTAATAGTTTTCTTGGTATTATTTTCTTTTTGCCAAAATAAAGACTTTAAAAAATATTTTAAGGTGTTCAGAAGGCATCAGTGGGACTGAAGAAAGGGCCCAAATTAAGTACTTCCACTCCCCAGCAATTTCTACAGGTTCTGCCAATTGTGCATCCCTCACAATGAAAGGTCATTAGTTCTCTTTTCATTGGCTGTATCTCTATCTGGTTCAAAGTTAAAGTCAAAGGCTTTACCAAATCAGGCCCACCTCTCCTCACCTCCCCCACGCCACCTGCGCCTACATCCTTCTTCCCCTCTAGTATTTGAACCTGTTAATTCTTCCACCTATAATGCTGTCCCCCAGGGGCCCACAGGGCTCTAATCCTGTAAGTCTTTGCTCAAATGTCACTTTCTCAAACCACATCACTTAAGAATGCAGGGTCCTACCCCACTGTATTCCTCTCCCTTGCCCTGATTTACTTTTCCATTGCACTTATTGTCTTCTAAAATACTGTATAATTGACTTGATTATTTTGTTTACTGTCTGTCTCCATTAGCATAATCTAGGCTCTACAAAAGAAAGAGGTTTTATTTTGCTCAGGGTATTTCTAATATCTAGAGTGACGTCTCGCACATATTAAATGTTCGGTGAATAAATAACATAGGAACAACCACCACCAACAAAAAAGTTAAAACTGATCCAGGATTCAGGACTTTGATGGGAAATGCACTTCTGTAGTTTAGTGTTCACTGACGGATACAAATGCAGGTTCCTCCTACAGTTGAGAGTTGAAAAAGTAACATAAAAATTATTATTTTTTTGTTCTACTCAGCTTTGTTGGGCTTTAATATATTATGAACAGATTTTAAAACATGACTTATTCACCCTAACTCCAACTCACCTTACCCAGCAGAGCAAAAATATCATTTCCATCTTGTAATCCCTCTTCAAAATATCTCAGTGCTTTTTTAGTATGAGGTTCTTTTCCTCTTGTAATATCAAGCCATGCTTTCAAAACCTGTCCCTGTAAAATGAATAATTCCAATCAGATTTCCATTGTTTGGAAATGAAAGAAATAACCTAATGTCATTATCTTGAAATTAGTAACAAAAATCACTTTTATCAAATAATGTGACAAAAAATACAAGTCTGTGCAGTAAAATCATTCTCAAACCCTTGCTAGCCTAACTAGAGTCTTGGGAACTATTATGAATTTCAGTCTTTAAGATTAGTACTGTGCTTAGTATTAAGAAACTTGCCAGATATTCCATTAATGCTAAGCAGCCAATATTCTTATCTGGAACTTTGCTGGTAAATTATTATTAATAACTTCATTATGTAGTTCAATACATAGCTAAGAATTTGTTACCTCCTTCTGGGCAAACAGACCAAATGAACTTAAGATAGAAAATCAGAAGTCCCTTGCTTTACAGATATTAAAAATTAAGATTATTTGGCAACTATCTCCTAAGTATCTGTGACTAGCCCAGTGAGTTTTAAAGGAAAGGATACATGGATTCAGAAATTAAAAACTGAAGAAGTTACGGATCTTTACTTGCCAAATGCTAGTGGGCCAACGGGTTGTAAGGTTTATTAGAAAGAAGATAGATACAGGTCAATTATTTTCTTTCTAATAGCAAATAAAATATTGTGAAATATGTTCTTCTATTAAAAAATTCCTAGGTTAGTTCGTAAACTTTTAATCTTTAACTATAATTTTATTTACCTCCCTTTATTTCACCTGAAAAGGCAGATAAGAATACTAAATCATGTTACTTCTACTCACTAGATTAGTGTCCTTATTTGAATCTTTTCATCTACTGCCTCTATGTGGGTCACTCCCAATCTTTATTTCTAGTTCAGTACCTCTTCTAATATTTTTCTCTTCTTTTCCCGAAAGCTCATCTACTATCTCCATCTCATTGTTCTGCCGGAGCCTGAAATATAGCATATCTTAAATCAAATGTACCACCACCCTCCAAGATGACTTTTTCATCCCCATGTATTTGCTATTCATGTTAACTGGTCTCTGATGAATTGTCCAGACTGAAAACGTCAGAGAGACATCCTTAATACTTGACACTTCAGTATCTTTCCCCTACTATTTATAATTAATTGACAAGTCTTGTGGGTATTTAATAATTTCCAAATTCATACCCACTGTACAGTATTTTAGTGTGGGCCCTCAAAACCTTCTGCCAGAAAATACTGCCTTTTTTGGACCCCATTCTAGTTATTTTCCTTCAGTCAATTCATCCTATAAACCATTGTTAAATTAATGTGAATTTGCCTTCTAATATTACTGCCATGATTAAAAACCTTCAACGATTCTCAAAACCCATCAGATTAAATACAAATATTCATACCTAGCTGTCAAGATCTTTCAATTTGTCCCAACCCACCTCTCCAAGCTTCTCTTCCACCCTCTTCTATGTACCCTATGTTCCCATTAAATGTGAGGGTCTTGCGGTATCCAGAACCCATGTCTCCTTGTTTTTCTCATTTCCATCTATTCTTTCCCACCATGACACTACTTCCCTTTTCCATAATCTTTAACTGTGAAAACTGTATGCATCTTTCAGGTTTTAGCTCAAATGCTACTTTCTCCAAGAAATTCTTCCTTATTCTCAGACTGTATAGATGTGAGCTCTCCTTAAGCACTTAAATAGTGGCTAGCACAAAGTAAGTGAGTAATAAGTGTTAGTTCTTACTTCCCTGTGTGCTTTAATCACTCATACCATTTGCTAACTTTCTCACAATATTAGCTGGGTGTACAACACTACTAGATGACTCATTCATGTAAGTAGAGTTCGCCTATATCTTATCCTTGTATATTACCAATAGTGCAGATAATGATGCCTTGTATTTAGAGCAGTTTAACAAGCAGACTGAGAGAACAGGAAAGAAGGAGATAAGGAAGAAACTGAAGGAAGGAACTAGGGAGGGATCTTTTCAAGAGTTAATAAATAGCATAAATATAAATAACCTTAGAGAACCACAATTTTATAAAATACTAAAATATGAAAATAAAGCTGTTATTTATAATGTGAGAATAGAGTGGGTAATAACAAATACTACTGAATACATAAATAACATAAGCTTCCCTTAATGTTACTATTTAAAAATAAGAAAAGCAGCTACCTCTTTACTACCATTTGACATTTTGATCATTCTGTCAATATACTCTCTCGCCTTATCATGGCGACCTACGTGCCATAAAAATAAGCCTGCATGGTACAAAGTTTTTGGTCCAGCTCCTTTACGTTGCTCCTTCACTCTGGCATCTGACTCCAGAATAGCTTCTCTATCTGAGGGGAAAAAAACATTAAATGAAAATTAAATTCTAGATGAAGTAAAATAGGTCAGAGCAGAGAACACAGTTCTTCTCTCTATAGCAGGACTAATAGAAATAAAATGTAAGGCACCAATATCTGTATCTAGCCATCATCAATTTCCTAGTAGCCACATCAAAGAAGTAAAAAGAAACAAGTAAAATTGATTTTAATAGTATGCTTTAACCCTATATGTCCAAATTATCGTTTCAATGCAAAATTGACATGAAAATTATTAACTTTTTTCCTTCTTACTAAATCTTTAAAATCTGCTATTACTTTCCCAAGAGCACATCTCAACTGAGTTGTTAAATTTTCTTCTGAATACTTGATTCATACTTAGATTTCATGAAATTTTATAGTTAAGAAAAATGTTTATATACTTGTTGTCCCAAACATAACTTCCCTACTGAGTCAAGTGCCATTTTTGCATTTAAAAGTAAATTAATTAGAATTAAGTTAAATTTAAATTTTAGTTCCTCAAATGAGACCCATTTCAAGTGCTCCACGGCCATACGTGGTAATGACCACTGTAATGCACACTACAGTTCCACAGTTTATGTCCTTCTCCAGACATTAAGGCTAAATATGCACATTAAAAAAAAACAATTAAGACTTAAAAAATTTAGCAATGATTCTAAAATGATACAATTATTAGGGGCAAATCCAGGATGAGTACTCAAATTGCCTGACTCCCTCATCCAATTCTAAAATGTATAAACATGACAGGCTAAAGTCACAGGCCAGTGAAATATAGTCACTGTTACATAGTTCAATGTTAACTATTCAACTGCTCCCTTAAAAAGATGGTCTACTTCTAGTAACTGATCACTTTTATTAGATCTACTATATATGTGCCTAGGACACAAATGTCAATTAGATTCAAATCTTGAATCAAATGAGAATATGTGTCAGCTCTGCAGGAGGAAGAAAAAATGTCAATGATAAGGGCTGTGACTCTAACAGACTGCCTTTCTGGAAATGGCTACAAGGAAAGACATGTGATCTTCCCTTTACCTAATGATATCAATCTAAGTATAAATGTGGAATTACCAACATACTTCATGAGTTTAGCGAACAAAATTGTTTCTGGAGGGCTAGAGATTGCTGGGCAAGAGACCCCCTTCTGCTCTGGCCCCTGCACACCCACTTGAACATCCTAGTTTTCATTAAGTCATCACACTACAGACACAGAACTCCTCAGGGCAGCAGCAGACACTGTACTTTACTGCCCAATGTCCATCCAGTCCCTAGTGGAGCATCAGTTGCCTGGACACCGCCTGGACAAAGCTGACTTTCACCAGACAGAAGCTCAAGTTAGTACTGCATCACAGTCCTTTTATAATCAGGGCTTGTCAGGAAGAATGTACACGAACCACTGAGGTCCTTCCTAGGCAGCTGTGAAGGACATCTAGGCCACTACTAAGCTCAACTCTGCAGCATTTATGGTGGAAAGCAGACTCAGGTGTCTCTAAACAATGCATGTTTGCACATAACAAGTTGTGAAGTTGGCTGCTGCAGAGCAATTTATATATATACCTGTTTGGGGCTGTCCTTTTTTTGCTTAACAATTGCTAATATGCATTCACTTTTATGTTAATGCAAACAATCCCTATGCACTAATGAAACTTCTGCCATAAGATTTAAGGACTATAAAAGCAATATAAGACATGCATTTCTTGTCTTGATAAACTTAAAATCTTGTCAGAAAGATGAAACAGACGTGACACAAATAGTATCTATAGACAATAAACAGTATAATCAGACTAAATACTATGGAAATAGAGAAAAATCAAAAATGAACTGAGTAGAAAAAATTGTCCTAAGCACTGTACTTAAATATACTGTACCTGGATTAGGACTCATTTTATGGGCATATATCAGTGCAATTAGAGAACAAAGTGATACATCTTGTTTACTTTGAATAGCCTCAAATTCTCGAAGAGCTTCTTGAGTTTTACCTAAAATTCAAAATGAAATAAAAAATTGTTCTTAGTGTAAAACACAAACTTAAAACTTATGGAACATGTTTATAATGAGCTCATACCTTCCATTAATGTAGCATAGGCATGATAAAACCTGAAGACTGGGTCGTGGCCATACCTCTTCATTCCTTCACTGGCAACAAGGGACACATGATGGAAATATCTCTCTTGACAATAGTAATTAATCAAAGTCTAGAAGGAAAAAAAGACTGAATTGTAAAATAGATTCTGGTATTCTGAAATACTCTAAGTAGCAGATATTCATCTAAAATCTTGAATAATTTAAAAATTAGATGGTGTGATTTTTTTCTTCCAAGTTCCTGAAAATGTTGTTTAAGGCTAGTGCTTAATACTAATAAATGCATTAAACAATGAAACAAAATCATTAAAGTAACTCAATGTTTTCTAATAATTTCAATCCTTTTTTTTCTAAATTATTTGTCAACAATAATGAAATTAGGCTACTTTCACCGCTCTCTTCGGCCCACATTTCTTAAAGGTTTTAGAAAACAAACGAAAACCAGAAATATTTTTTAAAAAAACACAAGAGGCTTCCATTTTCAAACCATCAGTTTCTTCTTAAAGAAATCTTCTATTTTGTTTTGCAGTATTACAATGACAAATTGAACTCAGTGGTTTATCGTTAAACATTATCTTGTTTTCTATTTCACTTCTACAACAAACAGGGATCAGCAAGAACAAATGACCTAAACTACTGTCTAATGGAAGTTACTCCTCTCAGTTTTTTTCCAAGTTATATTATTTAGATTTACAAGGCAGAAAAATACCATCAAGAGATACTAATTTCTTTACACTATTTTTTTCAGGATCATATTTAAGGCTTGGCTGCTAACCTAACCAAAGAGGGAACCACATTCGCCATTGCTGGGATAGACCTGCGTCACCTCCATAAACCAGTTTGGAGCATCCCGTACCTAAACTCTGACTCTACAGCTGGGTTCAGCAGGCAGGAGAGATATGGGTGACGCCCTGATTGACAGGACTGAAGTAAGGGTGTCTAGACTCATGTTAGTCCACTGTTTCTGGAGGGTTACAGTCCACATGCTTGTCTACAGCACAGGTCGGCAAACAATCCGACCATTTTGCTGTGCTTCCCTCCGGCGCTTACTGCGCTCCTCCCCTTCCCAGCCACCTTTCTTCAAAGCGTGACCTGTCCTCTATCTCCAGGGCCCGCCCCCACAGCACATCTCAGCCAAACAAATGCATGTTTTCTCCCCTGCCCCTGCCCTAAGGCCGCAAATGACCTTGCAGTTTGCCACAACTAAAGCCCCTTCTGGTATCATCTTGCCTACCTTGTGTCCAGCTATATCGCTAAGCACCTGTAACTCTCCTGAAACGCAGTGGCAAGGCATCTGAAAGAGGACATGGACGTACAGGCAAAGAGGCCTGGCTTCAAATTTCTGATCCATCCTACGACACCTCAGTTTGCTTATTTGTAAAATGCTATTAATCATTTCCAGGTCATTATGAGGATTAAATATAATAGCATGCTGTAAAACTCCTATTCTGAAAAAGAGTAAGTTCTTCCAAACCCCCACCTATTGGTGACATAAAAAACCACGTGTCTAGCCAAGATCTCCAAACTCCAGATTGGTTTTTCCAGTTGCCCCCTGCCATTCAAGTGGGTAAATCAAGTCACAAAATCCTCCCTTCCTGTTTGCCCATTCCCCAGTCTAACCAGTCAGTAGGCTGGCGTGCTTCTCTAGCCTACTTGCCATTCTCGTTTACCGCCTACGTACCAGTGCCAGGTTCTGGGCACATGCAGGTGAACAAGATAATGCTTCTTGCCCCAGACAGGCTTAAACTTTTCAACTGAGACTAGAATCTAAAGACTAACTTTAATAAAATATAGTAAATGCAAGAAAAGAGCCTATAAATTGCTTGGCAGTCTAGGAGAATGAGGTTGGGGTGTGGGAGGATGGAAAAGTAAAATTCAGGGGAAAATTCTCGGGGAGGATTTCAGAACTGATTCTTAATTTGCAGCCTCTTCACTCCCCTCCACACACATCCACTCTTCCGACTGCCCTTTCATGATTCTTGAGGGAAATACAGGAGTTAACCAGGCAGAGCAAATACAACACAGAGATAAGAAGGCAGCAGGGACACACAGGAACAGGGTGGGGACGGAGAGGACTGGAAGTCATTCTATAATCCGGTGTAAACTATGGCCTGCGGAACATAGCTGGTCTGCAGCCTCTTTCTGCATGGCGAGCAAGCTAAGAAGGCCTGGGACATTTTCAAATTTTTGAGAGAGAAAAAAAAAAAACAGAAAAATATTTCATAACACAGCAAAATTACATGAAACTCAAATTTCAGTGTCCACAAAGTTTTATTGAAACAAAGCCATGCTCATTTGTTTTAACTTTTGACTATGGCTGTTGCATGCGAAAAGGGCAGATTAGATGCCACAGAGATCCTTGGGCCTATGAAGTTCAAACAAAATATGTACTATCTGGCCCTTTACAGAGTTTGCCATTCCCTGTTCTAGTCTTAAGTAAAGCAGGGATTATTGGATGCGGAGGCCGGAGAGGAAGGCAGGGTGCAGAAATAGTAAAGACTTGGATTTGCTGGTCTCCTCTAACTGATAAGGAGCCACATAAAGGGCTTCAGTGTGAAAGTGTTTTTATTCTAAGAGTTCATTTGGACGGCGGTGTGAAGGATAAACGTAAGGTGATGAAAAGAATTTAAGGAGATGGAGAAAAGCTTCACAGAAAGATCATGTAAAAATTCAGGCAAAAAAGCCAAGGCCCGCCAGCGTCATGTATCACTGCCAAACTGTCTTCCAGCCACTGTCACCATCTTACAGCGCGGACTCCCCCTGCCCTAATGTAAGCTCCAGGAGCGGGAGGGCTTTTCTTAGGTTTATTACTTGCAGGGCTTAGGATAGTGTCAGATGGACAGGAAGCACTCAAGTATCTGTTGAATTAATTGTATTAAGGTTTTTTCCCCAGGATTAATTAGACTGAAAAAAAAATGTGGCAAGGCAGGTACTGTTGGGTTCTGCTGTCTCCAGCTTCTAATAGGCACACAGCGAGCCTGCTGAAAAGGCCGAACAGCATCACCTAAAAAGAAAGTTCTTTTATTTTCAAGCTCCGTATCTTTGCTTTCCGATCATCATTTAAGTGCACCGTCATTAATTTGCTGAATGGATGAACCAGCGATGAACAAACGGAGAAGAAAATAAAATCACTCTAAAATAAATCTAGAAGTCACCTAAAATTTTAAAAATAACCCTAAAATAAAGACTCCTTCATTCTCAAGCTTAGGTCTTTGTTTTCATACCATCTATCGGTGCTCCTTTCAACTATCCACCAGGTTTGCTGACACTAGTTTGCTGTCAGGTCCTTAAAAATCTCACCGGGAGGAGCAGTAGGTGTCATATATGGAGCAAGTTTTCCAAGTAAACGAAAAAAGGCAAGGGAACACACAACACCACAGGTGGGACGGGACAAGCAGGCTAACGGCAACTGGGGAAGCAGCGCGCGGCGCAGGCGGCCCCGGGCCTCCAGATTCCGAGCCGCGGCCCGCAGGCGGCCCGGGGCTGCGGCTACAGGCCCACGCCGCAGGATGGGCACCGGGCGGCCCGCGCTCCCGCCGCGGCCCACGCCCCACGGCCCTCGCCGGCCCCCAAAGCGACTCACCTTCAGCGCCCGCGAGTCCATGGCTCCCGCGAGGCGGGCGCCCGCCGCAGCGCCGCCGAGCAGCCCGGGGACCCAGGACCCCGCTGCAGAGCACCAGCCGCGCCCGCGCCCCGGGCCGGGGAAAGGGGCGGGGCGGGGGGCGGGGCGCGCCGCAAAGGCTGTGCGTGGGGGGGCGGGGCCTCGTGCCGGGTTGGCGCTAGCAGGCGTGGGCGGGACGCGGGGGGCCAGGCGGCGGCTGGGGGACCGGGAGCCCGAGGGAGGGGAAGACAAAGTAGGTCGGGGCGGGGAAGGCCTGGGAGGACGGGGCTGGGCGGGGCCGAGGGGCGGGAGGGAAGGAGTGAGGGAAACGGGGAGGAGGCAGGAAGAAGAGCCAGTCTGTTCCCATCGCTGACCGCCGGCGCCCTGCTCTGCAGTTTGCGGCGGGCGATCCCGCACTGCGGCAGTCTGGAGGCCTCACCGCGCCGGGGCAAACCTTTAACATTTACGTGCAGCAGTTGCATTTTGGCCACAAGGTGGCGGAGAAAAGTCGCAGATTTTTAGAGGATGAACTTGGACTCATCTTTGCCAGCATTGCTGCGATCCCGTGTTTGTCGTTAGAATGCACATCAAGTCCGCCCCTCCTTTTGTTTTTAACCAGCTGATAATGAGAAGAACATATTTTTTCAGTGTTTTTGTTTTAACCATGCTGCTGGTTTTAAGCTGACAATAAGATTAGTAATAAAATTATATTTGTACCCATCAGGCAACTCTCAGCGCTCCTAGATTTCTTTGAGTTGTTCAGAGAATTAGATTGAAATGTAATGCATTAAGAGATTTCCTACTTCTGCTTAAACATATTTTAAAAATAGTAGTTAAGATTTAAGTGATCTTAGTAGATTCTTTTACGTGGATTCCATATTTCGGTCCTATTGTTTTTTATCTTTATTTAGTTGATATGATTCGAAGTTGCCTTTTCAGATTTTAAAGTCTAGCAAAGGTAGACACTGAATAGATTCACAAAAGGAAATGAATAAACTGCAAGTAGTGACAGTTTTAATAGCTGCTTTAGGAAGTGCAGTTAAACAAGAGACTAAATCTGCCTAGCTTTAGGGATCAATGTATCAAGAATGAAGTGAAATTTACATGGCTTTTTAGAGTCCAGAGGAGTCCTTCCACTCAATTTCTGCAATTGATTACTTTTAGATCACTGTATAATACTAAAAAAAAAAATACCTGAGAAAATAACACATCTGATGGCTAAAAACTGGTGACAGGAAATTTACTTCTTGTTCACCTGAAGGATCAGTTGTCCTATTTCCATTCAATTACCATGACAGGCTTACCAGGCATTACCTTTCTCTTGTTTTTCTCGACTATATCTTGTTATTTCATCTATGCAAAAGTAGCGGAGAGAAAACACAGAAAAATATATTTTGAAAGAGTCTGGTATTTTGAAACAGGAAGGATGAATTATTGAAAGGTTTATAATTGTGATACACAGAACATCTTGACAAGCTGCCAACTGTCTTTGCTTCTCCTCCTTTTTTTGTGGTGATAGAATTAAGATCAAAGGACAGTGATAACTATAACCCCTCTGCCTGATGACATTAAGGTAGACAGTACCTTACTTCAAATTCTCTCACTTGGGTCTAAGTTCACAACTGAACAACTTATCCAACATCACATTCACATTGCCCATGAACGTCTTCCTCGATACTTTATCATTTCTGGAGGTGAGATAACGAGAGCTCTGATCTAATTTTTGTCTTAAGGTTGAGAAAAGTGAGGCCTTAGCTTTCTAGATGTCTGATTCTTGATAAACTTGGTTTATGGATGTATTTCCAAGTAGTTAGCAACACTCCTTAGAGGCAATACATGCTAACATAAACTGTCACAGTTGCAAAAATAAAGGAGGGAACAATGACTTCATGCCCAGTAGACTTGAGGTTATGCAGGATATTCTGCTTAGTCTGATCTTATTTAGGTACATGTAGTATAATTTTTCTCACTGATCCTTTTTTTTCCTGTCTTTTCCATCTGTCTCTCCCTTCCCTGAATCGATTTCAACATGTGAATTAGTAGCCACTGTACGGCACCTCTGCACCACCAAATTCCTCTCCCAGCTCATCATTCCAATGTGCTTGCCCTCAATACCCACCAGCTTGACTTCTTTATCCACAACAAATTGGACCAGAAGCTCATCAGAGTATCACTTCTCACAGATGCCCATGGCCTTCCCTCCATCCTGAAGGAACCTGATTCCATCTCCCTGGGGTAGAGAGCTGTTCCCACTCAGAGCAGTGCCTGGAGACAGAGTTTAGGTTTCCCCACTGACAGCTGAGATCTTTTTCTCTCTCCAAAGTAGCCGGACGTTCTCTTTTCACGTCCAACTCCTGGTTTCTCATTCACTGGATCACCTTCATGAGCCCTACCACTTGTCCAAAATGGCTGAATTGAAATAGTTGAAACTCACACCTCAGGATCCCTACTCATGAATCTGTTTGCAACTGGATTTTAATTTGTGGTAGCATATTTTTCCCCCTTTTTATTTTGAGAAATTTTCAAACATATGAGAAGTTGAAGAGGACAGTTGGCCCTAGAGCAACATGGGTTTGAATTATGTCCACTTACTGATTCTTTTTAATAACCATACTGGAAAGTTAATTTTGAGATTTGTGACAATTTACAAAAAACATTTTGTGTTTTCTAGCAAGAATACAGTATATAACATATATAACATAAAATATGTGTTAATTGACTGTGGTATCAGTAAAGTTTCTGGTCAACAGTAGGCTCTTAGTAGTTAAGTTTTTGGGGAGTCAAAGTTATACTCAGATTTTCATCTGTGGGGCGGTGGAGGGGGTCAGTGCCCCTAACCCCTGTGGTGTTCAAGAGTCAACTGGATAATGAACACCCCTGTACTCATCACCAGAGAGCTTTTTTGAGATGCTATTGGTTTATTGCTCTCCATATTTTCCATTTTCCTTGATGCATGTAGATAGCTAGGCCATTAGTATTTTTGTAGCAAAGTGGAAGAAAAAGCCTTTAGATCTTCCTGTTGCCCAGTAAGGTAGCCACTAGCTACATGATGTTATTTAAGCTATAATTAGTTGAAATTAAAAATTAAATATCAGTTGCACTAGCCACATTTCAAATGCTCAGGAGCCACATGTGGCTCGTGGTTACTGTATTGGACAGCAACTTAAAGGACATTTTCATCATCTCAGGAAATTGTGCTTTACAGCACTTCAGAAATGTTTTGGATCTTTTGTGATGTAAAAGATATTAAAGAAATGAGTCTGGGTTTCTCGGTAGATAGAAGGAGACAGAAAAGTGCCTTTGAGGCAAGGAAGGGAAGAGCTCTTTCCAAAAACAAAGACAGGGGAAAAACCCAATAAGGTCTTGTGATTCTTAGGGTTCCTCCTCCTGATTTATGGCCATGCACCCAGAAGAAGGTGAGACCTCAGCTAATGATTGCACGGTGTGCCCGGCAGAGCTGAGTCTAGGATACTGATCTCAGGAATTCACTTTAGTTTGGACAATAAGGATCTCATCAGACGCTATGATGCATTGGAGGGTCAAGAAACTGCCCCCATTTTCTGGACACAGTACAAGCTTCTTGGATTTTGGTTGAGTCCTGGGAGAGTAGGATGTTGTAATACTGAATAAGAACTTATCTGCTGGCAATCCAATGGGACTGGTGCTCACCTTTGATCTTATTAGATGTGAAAGAAGAAAAAGAAATAGAAATTTCTTGCACATGTGAATCTTGGGACTGAGTTTCAAGCCCACTAGAAAAAACAATAGTGGAAATTGTCTTTGGTGATTATTTTAAATATAGTGTATAAATACATATACATAAAACGGTGTATGTGTTTTTGGCCACTGGAGGACTTTCTTGTCCCATGCATAAGACAAGAGATACGTTAGCCCCGGAATACTATTTATCAAACTTGAGCATACATTAGAATCACCCAGAGGACTTGTTAAGCTGGGCTGCCATCTGCAGTTCCTAGTTCAATGAGGGGGAACCACAAAATATGAATCATAACACATTCCCAAGTCATACTGATCCTGTTAGTCTGGGGACCATGCTTTGAAAACCACTGCTTTAGTAAAAATTTTCTAATATGATATTAAGACTATATTTTGATCAAACTTGCTTCACATAAGGGTATTAAAATGGACACACAGAACAATCTGGATGCTGTAGTAACAGTTAGCCTTCGTTTAGTGTAAGAAGGCTGTATGGAGCGTCAGTAGTTAGTAAGAGCACTTTAGAAAGTCGTAGTTTCTATACAGTTGAAATACAGAAACTTGTGGATGAAGTGCAGCAATGATGTTTGCAACCAAGAAAACAGCTTCTGAGACTATATTCGCTTAGGTCCAGATAGAACTTGATCTTCAAACTACTGGTTTAGGAAATGCTATCAAGATGTGTGCCTGAATATAACAGCCTCCACAACTAATAATTCATTTTGAAATCATTATTCAGGCAATACCAAGAACACTAGGTTTGGCAGGGTGATTTAGAGTTAGGGTCTATTTTAGAATTGCGTTAATGAGACTGTGATATGAGCTCCTTGATGAAATACAGCTTTGCAGAGCAGAAAGAAAATCATCTTCCACATGTTCCTAAGAACTGGGTGACCCCTATAATGTTGGCATCTTTTTGTCTCCAGACAGTTATTACACCAAAATCAGTATGCAAACAGCAGCTATCCCATCTTACGAGAAATTCTCTGTATATGTCTTAAAAGCCTAGAACACTTTTGAGAGGTTTACTTGATGTACCAGGTTAATTATGGCAGTTTATTATTTTAAGCCACCATAAATTGTTTTTATTCTCAGAAAAATAATGTTCTGACACTATATTACTGAGTGAGATAGCTTCTATTAAGTATAATTATTCATAGACAGTTAAACTATTTTCCTTATCATTCATAAAATATGTAGAAAGTGAATAGCATTAAGTAGGCTGAGAGTATTTGCCATAACTCCTCATTTTCATTCTCAAGCAGGCATTCTTTTGAATAATAATGTGATTTCATGCAGCTCCAGCATATGAAATATGACATTGGTGTGTATCTGCTTTGACGGGTTCACTGCAAAAAAAAACACACACATTATTGGTTTTATGCTT